GTATTAACCACTTGTCTGTACTCATCAACCTGTTTCTCATTTAATTGCATTCCGCGATAGACCATCCCGTTGTAGGATGTTTTCACATAAATGGACTCCATTTTAATAAAGCGCAAAATCCACCGAGTGTGTCGACTTTTGTTCAGTCTTCATTTCTCAATGTTTTGTTCAACAATTTATATAAGAAACACTCTTGAGTGTATAACGAAATGCAACGTTTAGCAATTTCATAATCACTTTCATTTTTCACATTTTCCAATTGCTGAGCTAACCACTGAGCTTCGCACAAATGGCCTAGTTGCTTGCCTTCAACAAGTATTCCTTCAGCGGCAAGTTCAACCTTTTCTGCTTTTGGTCGATCGCCATTTTTCTTGAGCCACTCTTCTGTAAGCCAACAACACTCCCAGTCATTGCCAAACGACTTGGTTGAGAAAAATTCTGGAACGAAAAATCTTTGAGCTCTCAAACCCTGCTCATCTTGACTGTCGATTAACTTTCGTTGAATTCGACCGGTTTTGTTCTTGTCGATCTTACTCGTCCAGCTCGTACATTTTAGATCAAGCAAGCAGTCATCGAGTTCAACCTGTGTTCGTTTGTGTTTGAATGCATCTTCTATCAGTTGTATTTCAATATCTGAATATTGTGTCCATTTTCCTTGTTCATTTCATGACCAGATATTTCGAGTCATTTAGAATTTCCGAACTATTCCAAGGTTTCTGCGTGGTACACGAAAAGCAAGAAAAAATGTGCAACACAACAGCTTGTCAATTTAATTGAAAATAGTTTAACATGCAGATAGAGGTAATAAAACAGCATCAGAAAGAAAGAAAAAAAGAATAAGCGAGACAGAAAAAATAAATATTGCAGTCGCCTTAGAGACAAAGCTGTAAGTATTTATTGATCTAAAAACGAATATCTATATGTTGGTTCGTTTTCTAGTTCTCTTTCTGTATGTATGTGTACTTCTTTCGTTCTTCTCGATGATTGAAAATTATGTTCTTTCGTTTCTTTTCATTTAACAATTCTACAATTGTTTTCTTCGCTTTTTGGTCAAAGAAAATTCGATGTTGATCTTGACGTTTTCTCTTATTACGTTGTAATATTTCTATTACGTGATAATGTAGCTATCGTATATTTTATAATATGTGCTATTTGATTTACCACTATATATATGCATACACATACACATATATTTATGAATATATGTTAGGCTTGTTATACGTTAATCTTTGATGGTTAGTGTTGTCATCCTTTCTTAGTTATAATAAACTCGAACTCACATTAAATAAAACAAAACTTACAAAAGAAAAGAGTTGTATACACAGGTATGCATTGTCAAGGACTATATTCTTCCTTTATGTCAGTGAAATAGGGCATTGTATTCTTTAGAGTTTTTATCTTTGTTTGATGTCTTTTTCTTCATCAACAAGGTAGAATAAAAATTTTCTACACTTCTAGGTTTTTAGATTTTTAAAAGTTCGTTCGAATAGGTAGCTGCATCGGTTTTCCTGAATATCTGAAGACTGTTTCCCATTGACTACATAAATGAGTAATGCAGATTTCGGCTGTCTCTATTAGAATCAGTGTGAATTTTCAGTCAGTTTTGTTACACGAGCTAAACTTATATGATGATCCATCTCTTTCAATAGATAGAGATTGTGAAATAAGTCAATAGCAGCATTTTGTCTAGATCTCGTATCTGGTTGCGTCACGTAGATCAGCGTACCGATCAAGTGAAAGGTATTGAAGTCGAAATATTGCCGGAGAACTACTGTTCGGGTGCAGTTTGCCTTCGCTAATCTCATTAGAAAAAAAGTGTCATACGCAATCATTCAGAGTTTTAGCGAAGATGCTGAACTTTTTAAAGCTCAAGTCCTTCAGTTCTCAAACATTAAAGATTCTAGATAATTTAAAGAATCATTCGAAGTAAATAATCGTTTCAAGCGTTTAAAGGCTTCCTATCTTTCACCCTTCTTGTAAATGCTGCACTCATTTCACAAAGATAGTTATAGCGCAAGTCACTTGAACCACACTGAAAAAAAAATAGTGCCAAACAAATTATCTGGGATTTCACGGCATTGGGTATGAGTATTTGTGTTCTCCTCACCTACACCAACCCACACACATCCTACATCTACACCCTCGATAGTATCAGAAATAAAGTTTGTGTAATCATTGATTGATGTCTAATCAGATGCTGTTGAGGATATTAATTTTCATGATGATCCGGTAGGATCTATCTCATATGATAAAAACCGAAGGTTTACCGCGATATTACCGATTCGGTTACCCGCTCCCATTGCTGCAATTAACCGCGGTGAACCGTCGATTTTGACAAATACTGCAATTTATCGCTACAAATGATCCAGGTTTTGCGACATGGGATACTTTATGCACTTGTCAAATGTGCATTCATATAAAAATGGCCAACGTTTAAATATGATGATAACGATCTTGAATATTTTGTTCGTTTAATGTATTGGGATGCTTTTCCTCAAGTACTGCGACCAAGTCCTTTCTACCAGTTTTGATTTCTGATTTGATAACTATATTATTATTATCTTCATCAATAAAGCATAGACAATTCTTCACATGGATCTGTTCGTTACATTTACTACTTAGTACAACCAAAACATGTGGAAAATTTTTCAATGATTTACTATTTTTAATAGATTGCAACTTTGATAACATTATTCCATGGACACCTCAGCATTCTTCAACAAATTTGAAGGACTGTTCATTTGAGTAAAAAAGAACTTCGTCAGATAAATTAGTCAAATCGATGGTTATCGTGTATATTACCGCTAGTTCAACTAACTCCACTATTAGAGATGAGTGTGTTACCACGTTCATGTCTTTTTGTTCGTGTCACAACTTTGGACACATGGGTAGGAAACCGCGGACACAATCTTACTTAGCAGAAAATATAAAATGCTGCCGATATTTTGGTTTACATGGGTTCAATATGTTTCAGACGAACGAAAAATATGGACGTGGTAACGCAATGATTCTCCAATGGCAGATTCAGCTAGACAAGTTGATTGTACTTTTTAAAGAAAGAAGAAATGTAATCGACAAAAGCAATGAACTGATAACAGAAAAAGCTGATCATTTTTATCATCGTCGTGCACGCATGATTACTTCCACGATTGAGAAGGAATAAAATAAATAACGAAAACATATTAGGGTCATTATCAATACAATGTTAACAAAAATCTTAGTTCGTTTGACTCCCTACTCGAATTCTGATTGACTACCGAGAGATGTATTCATAAGTTACCCAATCTTTTCTATTCTTCCTCGAAATAAATTTTTAAAATCTCTATATTATACGAGATTTTCCTTTTTTTCCATATTTTTAACTTTTTATTCGTCAATAACAAAGTTGCTTGACAACTTTGTACAAATTGTTAATAATTAAGAGAATTTACCTTATTGAGTCGAAGATAATCAGAAAAAAAAACAAAAAAGAAGTCATTAAAAGAGTCAGAGCTTTTGACTGTATTTGGATTGCAACATAATCGAGAAAAAAGCGAAAGAGACAAAAAGCTAATACGCTCCTACCGATATTTACAAACATCTACCAGGATCCATTAGAATCTGTTTGATTCCTTCTATTCTAATATAAGAGCATCAAAATCTGCCGATAAATGGAAATAACATAAAAAAGTATACTTGTTGCATAACTATAGATTAGGATAGAAACAACTAGATGATATCTAGCTTTCACAACAAATTAAGCTCATTGATTTGTATCTATGTACAAAGTTTCACATCGAAATTCAAAATTTATTATTCTTAGTGCTTCCAAGGAAACCTATGGGATTCTGCTATAGAATAACGTAAAAATATAGTATCTTGGGTGGTAATAAGCAAAGCTATCAAACTCTTAACAAAATTTTCATAGCTTAATACTGTCTGCATAACGCATATAAGATCGATTCAAAAATGGTTCGAGCACAGAAATTTCTGTTACATTAACCACCGTGTTACAACCGCATCTAAATAACACTAGTGATCTGTTCCTAACCATGATTTATGTCTTATTCGAAAACTGACTTATTAAGACGAAACTAATAGAACAAATAGTATAAATTGTAGCTGATCTAAGTACAATACATTGGCAGCAGCACGTTTTTAATCTAGGATAGACTCAACAATCTTCATAATGTCTCTAGCGAAAAGTTAAGAATCCGTAGGAGAAGAAGGAACCTTTTCATGACATTTAGATGAAATACCACTGGTGCTTCTCTTTTCCAACTTACATTTCGAATTATCTAAAGATGGTACGGTTTAGAAAAAAATTGCAGCTACTGCCAATAGAAGTGCACTTAAAGAAACACGTCCACATTTGTTTTTTATTTAAATCAAATTCTCGAAAGAAGAATTTTTGATTCACTTTACAAAACAAAAAGGATTTACATTATGGATTTACTTACTTTCTTGAAAAATATTTTTTTAATATGTAAGCTTAGCTACTGAAGTCCAAGAAAGCTTTCAGCAGCTTTTAAATTATTTAACTCGGATTTTTGATACTGTTTTACTTCACTTGTTATAAAGGAATACTACTTGAAACAATTGGTTATGTAGAGTACAAAAAATAGTCATACAAAATGCCGAAGGCAGTGGAAAATTTGGACTGATGCACAACATAAATCTATCAAATTCATGGAACGTGAAACAAATAAGCCTTGCGGCTCTATAGCCTATGTTACAACCCATAATTATATAAAAGAGATATTTCAATATGCTATTATTATTATTAGTGATCTTGTTTATGTTTTGTTTAATTTTAACTTGAACAAAGATTTTATATGATCATATATATTTGTCGATAAAAATTAAGTTTTTCTATATTTCATATTGCTTCAAATTAAGAATAATAATCCATAAATTTGACATCATTATATATACTTTGTATTACAAATATCTTTACTACAGGTACTAGAACATGCAACAAAAAAAAAAAGAAGAAAAACTTGTCATCGAGAATATTTATTCTAATCTCTCATTCTCGGTTCTGTTTTAATATCAGCTGATAGAAATCTTTGATGATGCATATGATGATATGTCTGATGATGATCATGATTTTCTTGTGTATGAGATTCAACATTTCTTGATCGATGTTCATCATTAGTGCTATTATTGATGTGAGTTTTTACCTAATTAAAACAAAATAAAATAAAGAAACAAAAAAAAAAAGCATTGTTTTATTAAATAAACCTACATACATGTTTATTAAGATGATCACTTCTCATAAAACGTTTTCCACATATTTGACATGCAAATCTTTTTTCACCTAAACATAATGAGAAAATTTTTTATTTACATTCGATATCCATCAGGAAAAAGAAAGAAATGGGCGTATTCCATGATAAAAATCTTATTTGATTGATGTCACCTATGATCATACATGTCAAGCATAAATAATAGGTATTCATTCGAAGTTAATTATCATGTATATACGTATGCTTTATTTCTCCTACGATTAGTTTTTGCAATAAATATGGTAGAAAAATAAAACACAATTTTAGTTGATTAATGCACTAAAGATGAACAAATGATTATTTTATGTCAAATAAAAAAAAATACCTGTATGTGTACGTGAATGTCGTTGAAGTTCATCACTACGGGTAAATCGTTTTCCACAAAATAACCAATTACATACAAATGGTCGTTCACCTTCGAAATTAAATTAAAATGTAAAAGAATGTTTTTTTGGGTTTTTTTTTCAATTCAACCTGTATGCCAACGTAAATGTGCTTTAAGATGTGAAGTTTTATGATATTCTTTTCCACATCCCGGTATATGACAATTATGTATATTTCTTTTTCGTACAGTTGATCCAGAAATATAACCTAAACGATCAGCTTCACGACAATTTGGACAATCACATTGAGCACGACTTGTTTTAGGTTTTTTTAATGGATTTTTCGTTATTGATGATGTTGATGTGGATGATGTTGATGCTTGAATTGTTGGTGGTGAAGGTGTATGAGATGATACAATAGGTGGATAAAATAAACGAAATTCATGTCGATATGAATCTGTATTATATGGATGATTAACAGAAAGAAAATCATTGTAATGTGTTGATTGAACATGTGTTGGATATTGAACATTGGCTGTTGCAGAAAATAATGATGGAGGTGGAGATGTTTGTTGATCATTATGGTTCAAAATAGGAGGTGTTTGATTTGTTGTAAACCATGGTTGATGATGATTATGATGATGATGATGCATATCCATCCAAGTTGTTGTTGATGATGGTGTTGATGAATTTTCTTTTAAATGTCCATTACTATTTAATAATGAATGTTCATAATGATTAATACGAACGAATGGTGATGTTATTTGAGAATTGGAATGTATTGATGGATTATTTACGATTGGTCGTTTCCAAGCATATAAATTTGCTTTTGATGGTGATAATGGTGGACTTGGATTTGATGATTGAAATTTATTACATTGTGCAGCTAACATTGCTATTGGATTAACATTAGTCATATTTAGATCCTTGATAATAAAAAAGAAAAGTTTATTAAAAGATATATAATGTATTTCTTTTTGTTACATACAGAATTGTTGTTTGTTCCTGCCATGAAATAGGATCTGAATAGTTTGTCATATACAATTATAGAATTGTTTCTAGACGAAGAAAAAAAAAAGCAGAAATTATACGTTTTTTCTCATGTAATCAATGAGTATGATATGTGAATCTTTGAAGATAAAATGTTTAGCTCCACCCCGAAACAACTGACTTCGGAAAAGGATGGTCTTAATAATTAGACGGGTCAAACGAGATGAATGATATATGAACATATAATTTTGTTTTTTTTTTTCTCAAACCGGAAAAAGAACTTTCCCCTATTTTTCATTGGTTGTTTTGAAAAAAGAAAAAAAAAATTTCCTTACTCTTTGAACTTGAAAAGAGAAAAAGAGAAGAAGATTTTTTTTTATTGGATGTTAGATTAGATAAACTATGATTGGTTTACACATGTAGATATACACCTGTTTGTAATACGACAAAACCAATTGTTCCCTGTGGTGAAATAATCAAAGAGACTCATAACATATGGAAGATTTATATTTTCAAGAGTTTAATTTACCACTTGATCACTAGTTTAAAAAAAAAAGAAAGAAAAATGCGTTCTGTTCTCATTATGATTTCCTACTATTTTTGACGTTAGTTGTCATTAAACTAACATTTATCTTACGAATGTCTTTGTTAATCGATTGATGTCCATCTTTATTTTAATGAAGACATTGTGACCAACAAAAAAAAAACAAAAACACACGAAAAAATCTTATCTATTTCTTCATATAAATTTCGCCTACCTGTGGTGAGGTGTGAAAAAAACTTTGCCTTCAATGTCGGTAGGTAGTAGCCGTTCAAGCTTATTTTAATTTTTATAAAAGACTAGCGCTTGTTTCTTTTGATGATATATATATATAAAACGTATGTCGCCATATATCAAACTCATCTTCAAGCCTTCTGGCAAATTCATTTCGTCTTTTGCTCATCGAACCAACCTATAGATCAATCATTTTATATAGACATATTTTTTTTTTCTTTTTTTAAGTTTTAAAATAAAATAACAGGTTTGATAATAGACATATAATACATGTAAAAGAAATTTAAGATTAACTGTCAAGTGAGATAGAACTAGTCGTCTACTCAATATGCCGTGATATAGAAAAAAGAAAACCAAAAAAGTAGATTAATTCGATTAATAGTAGTGACATGGTGTGCAAATGAACATATTATAGATTGTTCATGTAATGAATAAAATGACTTAACATAGACCGACTAATTATAGACGCACAAGGAGGAGAGCAAATTATCGATGTTGGAATTCTATGTTGTTGTTATAGTTGTTTTCATCATCTTTCAGCCGGATATTTGACTACTGTTGTTGTATAATGGAAGGGAGTTTGATTTCAATGTTCTCTATTAAAAAGATCAAAATCTTAGATGGTGTATTGCATTCGTTTGACACTTTTATTTCTTTTTTTCGTCTATTTAAAATAACTATCAAAAAATATATGTCGTTCATTCACACTTGATTATAGAAGTATACTAACCCAACATGAACTTGGCGTTGTTTTTTTGAGCTCTTATCTTTGTATGAAAAGGTGTTAATGAATCGATGTCTCCTATGTATGACACACACACAAAATCATTTTCACGCCCATACATTTGATCAATCCAATCAGTAAGTTAGGATGATCGTCGTCTTCCGGTATTTATACGTCAGGACAGCTGACATGATGAGCTTCCTCTCAGCATTCAATATGAGAATGTTAATGATAGTTGGCGCGTGTACGACAACAACTTTCGAGCAATTAGGTTTTGTATATATACTGAACATTATTCTGGAAAAAACAAGGGATGACTGACTTGATTCGTTGACATTTTTTTTTTCTTCTCTTTTTCTAGCGTGCGGAACTTGATGAACAATTTTATCTGTCAAACAATTAAGAAAAATGGTGACTTCCGTTTTTAACTGTCGACCATTATTATAACTACCAATCAACGATACAACTTTTTTTTTCTAGACAGTATAAAATAACGATTTGAGAATATGACCTATGTCAAATGATTATGTCATTATATGTTTCGACTACCTTATAATTTTCATCGTATTATCATTAAATTCTTATCAATATATACGATCAAATTTTTTTAAGATTGATTGAATTTTGCACGTAGGAAATCATTCTTTGCTCTTATCAAATTATTGAAGGAAGAGAGAGAATTCAGTTAGCTTATATAAATTTTTTGTTTGTTATTTTGCTTATATTCAAAAGATCAGTCAGATAGACAAGCATAAAGATTTTTTCTATTTTTTTTTCTGTTCAATTTCGTCACATCTATGCAGAAAAGTATTCAAGCCCGTAAACGCGTCACTTTTTGCATAAGATTGGCCTTTAAAAAAATAGTACCTTATTTTCTATGTAGTTTGTTCTTTTCATACAACTCTTTGACATCAAAATTTAGAATGTTCGAAATCTGTCAACTTTTTTCAAAAAAAAAAACGACAAAATTTAATACAAATAAAACACAGACATTTTGTATATAACAGTTTTACTCTACTTTTTTTTGCTTGAGTTACATAAAAACGCCGTTTAATTAGCATATTTTCTGTTTAACTTTCCATGAAATTACACTATGAATTTTGAGTCTTGACTGTAAGTATGAGAAAATAAAATAACAGTTATTTGAAATAATATCATCCGGAATTTCCCCAAAGTATATTCGTATTTGTATATTACTTTAAATTTTCTGTTACGACGTTTTCTGTCATTAGATTTGTTGATACCGAGAAAAGTATTATCGGTTTCTTAACTGAAAGTAGTGTCCTCGATGTAAGTTGAAAGTACTGCACAGCTGATAATAGGTTTTGAAGGAATTCTGAACGACATTATTCTAAATAGCTGTTATTGTATTTTCTCACATTGATGATGAAGACTAAGACTGCTGAATATTCTTATCGCTGTACCCCTGAATATATAATGTGATTTCGTGAAAATTTAAACAGAATTGATGCCAACCCATCATACAAAAAAATGACCTATTTTTCTACTTGAATACGTCTCTAATGCAAAATTTGGGCACTGCATGACATAGTTCATTCTGATCTCTTAGAAATAAGAATTTATAGTGGGTCTTTGGGTATCATAGTAAGTAAATTAACTATGCTCTACATGATCTGAAACGAGAAAATCGATTTGGATGGAGTCATGTACAAAGTGTAAAATATATTATGGAGTCACTCATTCACTGTGGCAATGAACGAACGAAGTATAGATAATTAGGTTTCTTTAAGCATTTCAACACTCTAAAAATGATATAAATTAGTAGCGGTTGGTGTTGGCGTAGATCAAACATAAGAGGAATAGAGCGATATGACGAAAAAAGAATTCTGCTGGAATTTTCATTCGTGAATAATATGTTACATACACTAAAAATATCTTAAAAATCAAATATCTTGGTCCAGGCACGTCAATAGCAAGTTTATTAACATACAACGCAAACATCGTCATTGTAAGATAAATCAAAAAAAAATAATGCAACAAAATTCACAACTATAGATGTGTGGAGAAAAGAAAAAGTATAAATTACGTCCACATGAATCCTATTATAGTTGAGAAGGGCAACAAATGCCTAGAGAAAATCAGATAAAATTTGAAGATTTTATTGTAAAGAGGTTACAGTGCATATAATTCAAATCTGAAAACTCAATTAACTATATTTTTCATAATAAGCACAATAACAATGTTTCCTGTATGTTACAAAGAATGACTATTTTTCTAATAAATTCTGATATGATCATCATTTTTTTTTTGTATTCATTTGAATTGTCGTTTTCAATCTTCTCAACAATATTATTATTTATCAAGATCTTTGCTTTTATTTTCAGAATCATTTATCATTAAAAAGACTATGTTGTATTCTATGTCATGGTATAGCAACCTCGAATAAAGATTCATAATTTGTATTAAATATGATCATATTTCTTAATTGTTTCTTGGTATTACATCAATAATTGTTTGGAGAAATTGACGTGGACTTGATTCTGTATTATGAAATAATAAAAATCAATTGGATTTTCATGGTATTGAACATTAATCATCAGTTTTTTGTATATTCTACGATATTTTAATTAAAAATAACTAGATGGTGACGCTAACGCATAGAACATCAAAAGAGAAACATTATTTGAATATGTTGTAGATACTATTTTGCTAGACAATTCTTGAACATCATGTTACATCTTATTCAAATCAAACAACAATAAAAGATTTTTTAAGCCGAGACGAAAAATGCAAGATAAATTATCTATGACTATTACTGAATTATATTGAAAACAGTGTCAATCAAAGCATAAATCAGGAGTAATGATTTCAAAAAAGGAATATTTATTGATTTAGGTTACTCAAAACACGGATGTTTAAGACTTTTTGCCAAAATACTCTGTAGTATCTAGAAGAGAAAAGAAACATTGAAATCGTAAGAAGACATCTAGAAAGCTTTACTTGTGAGCAGTGAACGAGACTCAAGAAATTAAAATCATCGGGATCAGAATCACTAGAAAATTAGTTTCCAGAACTAAAAACACTTAGTCGCACACATCTCTATTAATGATGTATCATTCGATTTTGTTTCATCGATTGATCTTTACGACAGACTCGTGTAGACTGTTTTTTTTAGATAAAAGTTGGGCTGCGATTCGACTTATATTTCCTATAATTCCTATATTTTTAAAAAAGTTCTATTTTTATCCTATACTTCAATAAAAATTTCTATTTTTCCTATATTTTATCGAAAAAAAAGGAGAAAATTTTCGAAAATCTGTAAGTTTTGCTTTTGTTCTAGTATAGTGTTGAGACGTTGAACAACATATATAGTGTGTGGTCACATGTCTTGAATAAACTCCTACATTACGATGACATTTTTAAACAGTGTTGTTCAGTACTGAATGCGCTAGTGGTTTTTAGCTTTA